ATGGTATCATCATTTCACCCACATAGCATGTGCAAGAATGTAGAGAGGGTTACGGCAAAAACTAGATGCACTTCGTGGACAAGACGGACAATCTCTTTTAAGTATCATGGTTTCATATGGAAACTCGTCTGTTACAAAGGGATTTCAATTTTTTGAACTTATTTGAACACCATAGTTTTTCTGTGTTCAAAATGCACCATTCAAAGCCACATCACCAATTTTCAACCCTTTCTGACTTCATTTGTTATTTTGCATGCATTTACTGATTATTTTGAGCTATAAGACCATGAAATTAAAAAGCATTTGAAATGAACTCTGAAAAGGTTGAAAGTTGGCACGGCATCATCATTTCACCCACATAGCATGTGCAACAAAGTAGAGAGGGTTACGGCAAAAACTAGATGCACTTCGTGTACAAAACGGACAATCTCTTTCGAAGTATCAGCGTTTAATACGGAAACTCGTCTGTTACAAAGGGATTTCATTTTTTTGAACTTATTTGAGCTCCATAGTTTTTCTGTGTTCAAAATGCACCATTCAAAGCCACATCATCAATTTTCAACTCTTTCTGACTTCATTTATTATTTTTCATGCATTTACTGATTATTTTGAGCTATAAGACCATGAAATTGAAAAGCATATGAAATGAACTCTAAAAAGGTTGAAAGTTGGCATGGTATCATTATTTCACCCACATAGCATGTGCAAGAAAGTAGAGAGGGTTACGGCAAAAACTGGATGCACTTCCTGTACAAAACGGACAATCTCTTTCGAAGTATCAGGGTTTCATACGGAAACTCGTCTGTTACAAAGGGATTTCATTTCTTTGAACTTATTTGAACTCCATATTTTTTTTGTGTTCAAAATGCACCATTCAAAGCCACATGACCAATTTTCAACCCTCTCATGAATAGATAAGTGACCAAATTAATAGAAGTTCATCATCACATTAAAACCAAAGTACATACATAGTGCTCATTGAACAACATATAGCTGTCCAGAGCATCTAATTAAACCATACATTGAAATTATGTAAAACATTTCAATGCAACAACAAAGGCGATTATAATCGCAACAAAGGTAACAACTGATCCAACTGCATAATGATATCAAGCCTCAGTATGAATGGCATATTTTCTAATCTTTTTAATCTTCATCCGCATTGCATCCATCTTGATCTTGTGATCATCGACGACATCCGCAACATGCAACTCCAATATCATCTTCTCCTTCTCAATTTTTCTTACTTTTTCCTTCAAGTAATTGTTTTCTTCTTCAACTAAATTTAAGCTCTCGACAATAGGGTCGGTTGGAATTTCCGGTTCAACAACCTCCTAGATAAATAAAATCTATGTCACATTGGTCGGCATAATTGTCATAAACAATAAATGAACCAAATAGTTATCAAAAGATAATATATACCACATCTGAATCATAGACAGGACGAGGGCCGACGGGGGCGGATACCAAAACCATCGCACTATATAATAACAAGGAATAATATAAAAGTAAGAAAATTAGACAAGTATCTATCTGAAGTAAGATTTTTTTCTTTTAGAAAGAAGATAAGAACAAGAGGCTCACCACGGTGGTGCAGGCGACGAGATCGGCGCGGGCGATCGACTGCGGTGAAGACGGGGACGGGACGTGACTGGCCGCTAAACCTAGACAAATCTTGGGGAAAATGGAGCTCGGAGGTCGAGTTTCGAGAGGAGAAAGATTAACTAGTGTGGCTCGGACATTTCATCGAACACCTCATGTGCATAGGAGGTGAGCTAGAGCACCCAAATGCCCTTCCCTCGCCGGCCAGAAAAAACAGAGCAATGTGGAGTGCTCTGCTGTGTCGATGGGGTATATATAGGCAATTCATTTGTCCCGGTTCATGGTAGAAACCGGGACTAAAGCCCGGTAATCTGTCCCGGTTCAAGCCACGAACCGGGACCAATTGTTGTGGGCCAGGAGCAAGGACCATTGGTCCCGGTTCGTGCCTAGAACCGGGACAAATGGGTCCAGACGAACCGGGACCAATGCCCACGAGGCCCCGGCCGGCCCCCTAGGCTCATGAACCGGGACTAATGCCCCCCATAGGTCCCAGATCGTGAAGAACCGGGACTAATGGGCTGGCCAGGCCCGAACCAAAGCCCTGTTTTCTACCAGTGGCGCTTCAGGATTACGACCTAAGAATTAGTTCGAGGTGTAAGTTTTTTCTCGTTATGTGGGAGGTGAGGTGGAAAAAACCAGCGGTAGATGTGATTTGATAGGATAAGAAAAAAGATTTGTTGATTTTTTGTATTTGGAAAGTTTTGATTGTTAATTAATAGTAGAGATTAGTGCGTGGGATTAGCGATTTGTTATGGAGGAATATCTGATTTTACTTTGGAAGGTTACCGAGAAAAATCTTGTCGGTCTTAGTAAGATGATCTCACATATATGATGAGATTTTTTAATTCTTAATTATCTATTATTTACGTGATTGAATTGAATTATCACCTGCCAAGTACGAAACAAAATACCCCTTTAATAGGATTTTGTTTTTAGTGGCAGGGAGAAAAATCCAATGAAAAGGATGATAAGGTGAGACAAAAATAAACCAGACGAAATAGATGGTGAAGGGAGGTGACGCGAAAATAAACCATGGAAGGGAATCTATCAAGTTCCCTTTAGGAGTAGAGGTGAGAGTATATCTCATTGTCACGGCCCTCCAAAATGGCATATAAAGTTTTTGGTGCCTGCTCCACCTCTCCAACCATTTCATCGAACAGGAAGTAGCTATACCTCCATCATCTCTCTCTTTCTCTCCCGGGTACACTTGTGGGGTCTGTCGCCTTCTCACTATCCACCAACCTCACTATTGCTAGCCCTCATCCCTAATCCCTATGCGTCTACCATACCTTCTATCCCACCCACACGAACACAGACCCCTATACAAGAATCATGTACCACTCATGACCTAATCACACAGATCCTTCTCACTCCAATTCCCTAGCTTCGAAGAAGAAGCTTCCCGGACAAAAGCGCACACACATCGATCTTCTTGATCGTAGCAGCATCCTTGTTGTTACGGCCAGGGTGTTGAAATGGCAACTGCCGCTGATGCCCCGGATCTATCACTCCACATCAGCCCACCGTCACCAACCGGCAAGGCCTGGAGCGGCCGCGGGGATGAAATGGCCATCTCTGCGGAGTCCACAGAGCTCTGTCTAGGGTTTGACATGGCGACTGCGCGACAGTCAGGCGAGGTCCGCAATGGCCACTCCGATCTTGAGCAGCGGCTGCACCAACCTAGCCAGATTCCGAGATTCAAGAAGAGCTCCGCTGACAGCCAGGTGGGCTCCTCCGGCGGTGCGGCGAGATCTGGGAATGGTGGCAAGAAGAGCTCTAGGGCTCCAAGGATGCGGTGGACGACGGCGCTCCATGCACACTTTGTACAAGCGGTCCAGCTCCTTGGCGGCCATGAGAGTACGTTCATGAAACTGGATTCAGTTTTTGTTTGGTTGGTTGTTTCGATTAACAAGCCTGCTCGTTGGTCGAAACGGTGCCTGTTGGCAATCACACGGCCCAATTTGTCTGAATTTTGAAGATGGTGCCGCCTTATTGTGGCCTCGTTATCTGAATGTTAGCATAAGTGCATGTGTTATAGGTTTGCAATATCATTTGGATTTCGGGTCTGTCTGTGTTCCAGCATTAATTAAGCTTTATATATTTTCTATCTTCAAGGAGCAACACCGAAATCAGTCTTGGAGTTGATGAACGTGAAGGATCTCACACTGGCTCATGTCAAGAGCCATCTTCAGGCAAGTCATCTCTCTCTCTCTCTCTCATCCTTAGTTTTCTTGTTAGTTTAGCAGCATCCGAAAATGGAACAAGAAGACAGTCTTTCTTGTACGTTTCCTTGATCAGCTCATCTCTCTCCTTTTTTCTTCGTACTGGTTGTTAGCTTTTGCCAAGTACTTCCTGTCCTTTTCACCAGCTGCTAATCACTTTCGTCTAGTTTACATCATTATAAACTTGTTTAATTAGCATCTCACATGAGTAAACCAAATGGCAACACGAGCCCTAATCTAATGCAGATGTACTTATTTCTTGTCGCTTCACTTGATGCAGATGTACAGAACAGTCAAGGGCACTGCTTCGGACAGATCATGTGCGGCAGGTAAAATTCTGCCTAGCTGTTTGTTTTCTTCTTTTCAGAGACAAATTTTCTTGTCTGAGTCGATCACTCAGTAAGGTCAAATCACATAATGCCATCTGAATTATTGGCGTGCACGGGTTATATGTGATGTGTTTTGCCGGCCCATGCATGAGTCCCTTATACAAAACTACTAGCACTGAAATTCAAGAGATAAAATATACTCCCTCCATCCCAAAATTTTTGTCTTAGATTTGTCTAGATACGGATGTACCTAATACTAAAACGTGACTTGATACATTCGTATTTGGACAAATCTAAGACAAGAATTTTGGGACGGAGGGAGTATATAGTTGTGTTTTTGGAAAAACATACTGTATTGTCCATGCCTCCACGGACAAACATATATTCCAACGTTCTTTGTTTATTTATTTTGATAAATTAACTGATCAGACATGCATACATGGTGTGGTGTTCTGCAGGCCATGGCCAGATAAGGGACATGGGCTTTCTGAGGAGAGATGGTGAAGTGCATGGCTTTGACATGTTTAGCAACATCATTTCTAATACAAGGTTTGCAAATATTGTACGGAGTACATTCATTAATCCCAGTAATAATTGTGCATAGTCATGTTGAATGATATGCATAATTTGCATTACTCTGAAAAGTCTGCAGGTTTCCGTATTTGTTCCATTTGAATTTTTTAAAGACGATCTTATTTTTAAAAAATTATTATGTGCACTCATGCATTTAAACATAGTATTTGCTTATGCTGAAATATATGCACGGGGCGGAGTTGAGTTGCATGACAGAAATTTCGAGGCATCTGAGATATTTTGAATTCTATGGAAATATTACATCTAAATAAGGATGCTCATCTGATATATCCCTTGTTAGAAAAGGCCTTTCTCTCTCTCTCTC